GTGAAAGTGGCCGCCTGTTGCTGGCGAGTCATTGAAGTACTGCTGCAATGCACGCCCAATGACGGCACGCCCAATGACGGCACGAGATACATTTGTGCGTGCACGAGATGGAAGGCTGACAGACAGGGCGGCACTCCAATCCGTTTGGCTGGCTAAACGGATTGGTTGTAGTTTTTACAGTATTACGGCTTCTTCCACAGATGACATTTTTTATGGATTTTTTGTCAAAGCACTTCAGATATTCATTGCTATCAGGATGTTAAGAGCATTCCATGGAATATAACAACAAGTGTATCTCGAGCCGGTTTCTGAAACTTACCTACCCTACCTTTAAATAAAAGTATAATACGCAAAATACAGTTAAAAGTATTATTGTTAAAAGTACCTTTTGCAGAAAATAGTTCAAAATAAATGTGAAAATTACTCAAAACTGTTCAATTTATTATATCATATTTTATTATTTATTTTATTAATTTGTAAGGTGACTAAAGCTGTCAGATGAATCCAGAAAAATATCTGCTTTGATTTGGAGAGATTTATGAGTACAAATATCCCAAAAATACTCAAGTAAAAGTACCTCACATTAATACTCGAGTAATTGTACTCAGTTACTTTCCACCTCTGCATCCAGGTTAGCGTAGCTTAGCACAAAGACTGGAAGCAGGGGGAAACTGTTAGCATATTGTCTGCAATCATTTTAAAATCCAAACGGAGGAATCCCATTGGCTTCTTGTGGAGAGGAGATGCTGCCTTCAGGCTCCAACTCAGAAATACGACATCCCATCACCGCTGTGTATTAATGTGTGTATTAATATTCTCAGGACTCACTTGAAGTTGTCTTTGTCCTGCAGGTTCAGCACCAGGCTGTCGGCGTTCAGGTAAACTCTGTTCTGAGACGTCGCCATCTGCGGGACACACATATTCAGAAACACACACACAGGGAGTGAGCAGAGAACACACAGGTGGAGTTCCTGGTTGTGAGGCTGAAGCACAATGGGAACTCTGTCCGAGCTCCAACACTGAGCTGATTCAGAGACATGATGACGTGACTGTGACACACACTCTGCTGCAGACACACACACTCACTCTCTCTCTCTCTCTCTCTGCTGCAGCTACACAATCATTATCATGTATTGAATCCACATTTGAGTGATGCTGCTAAGTGACGAATCAACTGATGCATTTCTTGTTCTTTCAAAAACTATAAATCAGACACTTAATGTATTCTCTCTCTCCTCCTCTTCTTCTTTCTCTCTCATTACATTACATTGCATTTAGCTGAAGCTTTTATCCAAAGCGTATTACAATAAGTGCAATTTATTATTTTATCTCTTCTCCCTCTCCCCTCTCCTCCCTCTCTCTCTCTCTGCAGCTACACACTCATTATTTATTAAATCCACATTATGTATATGCTACTGTAAAGACAAACGATATAATAGTTCTCATGCTAATGGAGTATTCTTAAACATAATAATGGAAAAAAATCTTTATAAAAATACTCGGTTTATCCCAAATGTTTCTGCCTGCCTGCCTGCCTGCCACTGTAATTTAAGAAAAACATGTTTATGTCGATTTAAATTGAGTTAAACTGTTAAGTTCAGGATATTTCATGTTCATGTGGCGCCCCCTGGTGGCGACACTGAGCTACTGCATGCTGAGCCAAACTGAGGCTTTGAGGGGAAACTAAAGCTAATAAATAAATCAAAATGTCAAATGTTTAATCCTTTAAAATTATCTACCGTTAACCTCTCAAAGGATGATGTCATTTTAATTGAATTGCATATTAATGGTTAACTGTTGTGTTCAGGTGTCAGAAGGAGATGTCATGTTCATGTGGCGCCCCCTGGTGGTGACACTGAGATACTGCAGTGAGGCTTTTGAGGGGAGACTGTGAGGCCAATTCTAAATAAAACATGTTTTTATTATTTGAAACGATGTGGTATTAACTGCTCAGAGGAATATTTAAAGAAAGGAGAACAACTATCCATTTATTTCATTTTCAAAAAATTATAGTGATGCAGAAACTAATTTTAAGTAATCCTTATGAAGTTAGCATTTAAATTACATATGTACATAAGTTAAAAAGGGAGCCACTCATCAGAAAACAATGTTTTTTCAGACAATATTCAACCTTAAAGATTAAAATGCATCCAAATCTTCATTTTGACTGTTTTCTTACTTTTGGAGCTAATAAATTGTCCATTATTAACGTTTTGATTCGTTTTTTGTCAGTTGTATTTTAGCTGCAGAATAAAATTAAAAAATGAAGTGTTTCTCACCGTCTTGGCGATGCTCTGCGCCGCCCGGATCTTCCTCAGCTTCAGGTAGCCGGGGTTCTTCGTCAAGGCCTCTCCCAACTGACACACAACAAAAAAAACCACACACAGAAAACACACATGTAAATGGTTAGTGTTTCCTCAGGAGTGTAAGTGTTACACCCAGGGAGGATCAGAGCGGCAGGCGTGTCTGTTTCATATTTAATATTCTCACGCAGGTAAAAATAACTTGCTGCATATTTGTGTTTGGGTTGTGGCGAGAAACGTTTTAAAGAGTGCACGTCAGGACAGGAAATCATCTCTGAGTCTCTACTTTAAAGAGTCCTCTCCTGCTGATGTTCAGGTGTATATCAGTATGTAGTGTCTCTACTTTAAAGAGTCCTCTCCTGCTGATGTTCAGGTGTATATCAGTATGTAGTGTCTCTACTTTAAAGAGTCCTCTCCTGCTGATGTTCAGGTGTATATCAGTATGTAGTGTCTCTACTTTAAAGAGTCCTTGAACTCACCATCTTGGCGGCCTCAGCCTCTCCTTCAGCTTGGATTGATTTTATGTCTCTGATCCTGTAACGCTTTCTCACGTAAAACTGAGCTCTCTGCGCTCCTGCTGAGCTGCAAGGGAACAGTCAGAAACACTTCAGTTCATAAATAATAAAACAATATATTCGTTTAAAAAACTGCAGTATTTGAAATTTGCAAATTAGTTTTAAACACATTTGTAAAAATCCTGTTAATTAATCCTAATGACTCAAATGTTAAAAACAAGCAGCAGTAGCAGAAGTGTGTCTGATGAAACGCCCATTGATCAGAAACAAGAGAAAACAAGAACATTTTCAGTGAATAA